GAGATATAATATGTTCTAATTCATAGGTAACAGATGATAATTTAGTGAGAATTTTATATGGGCCTTCTCGTCTTGGTTGCAGTTTACTGCCACGCCATTTTCCCATGGCAATACCAGATAAACTAGTCATCCATACTAAATCACCGGGTTCGAAGTCTAATGGACGACGATGAACATTATAATTACGTGCTTGTTTTTCATGAGAAATATCGAGTAATTCACGTGCAGTTGTATAAGCAGGTAATAAGTCAGCAATTAATCGTTGACGATAAGCAGATAATTCATTCATTGATGGTAAAGTATCAGAAACATCAGGAGTTGGTAGAAGAAAATCGAGTGGTTGACGTGGATGACGTCCGAACATTAAGAAAGCAGGTGAATTATCTGTTGATTCACTTGGAGCAGTGCGTAATGCAAAAGCAATTTGAGGCAATTTAATGTCCCACGATTTTGAATCATTATGAGCAAATGATGCTAGTATAGGTTTTAACGTACGGTTAATTCGTTCACTTAAATTGCTTTGTGGATGATAAAGAGGTGTACGTTGATGATGAATACCGAGAATGTTGCATAATTGAATAAAAATTTTAGAAAGAAATTGTACACCATTATCAGATATAACACGAATAGGAAATCCAAATCGACAAATAACTTCATCGAGGAATAATTGAGCTATAGTATTTGCTTTAATAGATTGAAGTGGAAAAAGTTCTATCCATTTTGTAAAATAATCGACCACCACGAGAATAAAACGATTACCACGACGAGTTTTCGGTAATGGACCAGTAATATCAATACCGACTGTATGCCATGGTTCTGAAACAATTACAGGTTTCATAAAACCACCTGGTTTTTGATTAGTCGGCTTATATTGTTGACATAAAGTACATGCTCGTACATAATTAGTAACATCACGGCGCATATGTGGCCAATAAAAACGTGAAGTTAACCGAAATAATGTTTTTCGACGACCTAAATGAGCAGCTGTAGCATGATCATGAGCAAGTTCCATAATTCGAGGTATTTCGGAAGTAGGAATAACGAGAAGTACACGTTCAGATGATAATGATGTATTAAAATGTTGACCTTCAGTTGGATAATGATTACGAAATACACGATAAAGAGCTCCATCAATAACTCGATGTAAACGTGCTAAGCCATAAAATTTATTAAGATTGTCAGTTGTTGGTATAATTTGATGTTGAAGAAAATTCAGTAATGGTAAAAGTGAAGAATCATTCCACTGAGCAGTACGAATTTGTTCATATAAATTAATATTATCAGCAAGATAAAGATTAGCTACAAGTGAATTAGATGATTGAGTAGAAATGGATGGTAATGATATTGGAATTGATAATGAATTTGGTGGTAATGAATTTTGTCGAAAATAATCAAGTAATAATAATGAGCCAAGATCAACTGGAATTGAAGATAAAAGGTCACTATAATTTGTATTGTGTGAATTAGATGAAAGTAAAGATATAATAGAAGAAGAATCAGTATCAACGTCATCCATAACATCTAATGGATAACGTGAAAGTGCATCAGGAGGACCGTTTTCACTACCGGGTCGATGTTGAATATCCATATCATAGGCGGCAATTTGGATTGCCCAACGTGCTAATCGAGTGTTAAGATCTTTAGTTGAATGAAGCCATTTAAGAGCTTTATGATCAGTAATAGCAGTAAACCGAGTACCTTCAAGATATGGTCGATAATAATTACAGCCGTAAATAATAGCTAAACATTCACGTTCTGTTGCATTATATTTACGTTCAGCTGCTGATAAAGTACGACTGGCATAACCTATTACATGCTCACGAGTAATATTATCATCATCACTTAATTTTTGAGCAAGAATAGCAGAAATACCGACATCAGAAGCATCTAATTGCAAAATAAACGGTTGATCGAATCGAGGATAGACAATAATTGGAGCTTCGATTAGACGTTGACGTAATGTTGAAAATGCTTGTTGACATGCTTCAGTCCATTGAAATGATTTTGATTCAGAATTGCGTGTAAGTTCGGTTAGAGGTTCGGCAATTGTGGCATAATTTTTAATAAAACGACGGTAATAACTTGTAAGACCGAGAAAAGTACGAACAGCTTTTAATTTTGTTGGAACAGGATATTCCTGTACAGCACGAAGTTTATCAGGATCAGGACGAATACCTTCTTTAGAAACAATATGACCGAGATATTTAAGATGAGTTTTACAAAAATGACATTTATTAATTTTTAATGTTAAACCACTTTGTTGTATTTGTTGAAGCACGAGTTCGAGATGATTTAGATGATCCGTAAAGGATGATGAATAAACAATTATATCATCAAGATAAACAAGTGCACATGACCACTTTAAACCACCTAATACTAAATCCATAAGACGTTGAAATGTAGCTGGAGCATTAGTTAAACCAAATGGCATAACACGAAATCGAAAAAGACCGGCATGAGAAATAAAAGCAGTTTTGTCTCGGCTAGCTGGATCAAGTTCAATTTGCCAAAAACCGGAACGAAGATCCATAGATGAAAAGTATTTTGCATGCTGTAGTTGATCAAGTGTATCATCAATACGAGGTATCGGATAAACATCACGTACAGTAACAGAATTAAGTTCTCGATAATCAATGCAAAACCGTAAAGATCCATCTTTCTTCGGTTGTAATGTAATAGGTGCAGCATAAGGACTGGCGCATGGTTCGATAATACCGGCATTTAACATTTTTGTAATTTCATTACTTATTATTTCTTTACGATAAGGTGAAACACGATAAGGACGCAATTTAATAGGCTTAGCATTACCAGTGTCAATATGATGTTGAACAAGAGAAGTACGTCCTAATGTATCTTCAAAACATTTGTAATATTTAAGAAGAAGAGATTTTAGTTGGTCAATTTGATGTATTGTAAGATCAGTATCAGAAAGATTTAAATTGGTTAAAAAGTCGAATGAATTAGTAGTTGATGTATTAAAATTTTCATTAAAAGAAGTATTAGACGAGATATTAGAATGAAGAGGCAATATCATAGAATTTTGAATATTGTGTGAATCTAATTTTAGAAAATGATTATTAAAATATTTGAGGTTACTTTTATCATGCAATTGAGAAACATGTTTGGTTCGATGATTACAAATAGAGAACAGTTCCTTCTTCTGATCACCTTGATTTGGTAATTCGTGAAACTCAGTAAAACAATTAATTATATGAGAAGAATCATTTTTATTGAAATTGAATGTTGATGATGTTGGTGCTGTTGTTAATGATAAAATTGGCAGTGCCTGAGTAATTTCATTAGTATCATCATCGTATAAGTCAGCAATGGCCAAATGTTGACCAGGATAAATGACTTGAGGCTTTGACGAACAATTAGCAACTTGAATAAAGCAACATTGATTTTCGATACGAACTAAAGAATTAGCAGCGATAACATGTCGACGTATACCACTAATTGATGCATCCCAAGCATCAGATGAAAGAGATGATGGTGTCTTAACTTGAATAAATGCAATATGATATGGTGGAACAGTTCGTAATTGAGTAGAAAAAAGTGGAACATCAATGCGTCCTGCATTTATAATATCAGATGAAATATCATATTTAAGATTAGGTTCACTACGTAGCCACATTTTATTAGCTTGAATATCAAGTACAAGTCCAACAGCTTTCATAATATCATTACCGATTAAAATTAAATGTGTAAAATTTTTAGCTAAAACA